CGATTCGACGATCAGTGCGGGCTGATGAAGGAGTGGGGGCCGCGCACCGGCTGGCACAGTGAAACTCACCATGTCGAATTGAGTGAACAAGAAACGCTGAGGAGACAAAGCGAAGGGCGAGATGCGGCGCTGTGCTCTCAAAGCAGCACAACTATGCAATCCGCCCTCATGCGTCGGGAAGAAGACCAAAGGTCCAGTCTCGCACTTGGCGATCCATCCAGACTCTTCACCTCCCACAAATATCGATGCGTCTTCAAATGCCGCAAAGCGGTCGAGTGGGGTGAGCGAAGCTGCCAAAGTGGCCACTTCGCCATCCACTGCCGGACCAGCTACTTCCGTCGAGGTGATTTGACGCGCAAAAATCTTGTTAAAGATCACTTGCAATCGGGATTGCGCTGCACCGCTCGTGTTTGCCTCGTAGACGACGATGAGACCGTTGTTGAAGGATGTCTAAAGGGATGCATGCAGGTGGAAATTTCCAGCTCAGCCAAACTTCTTTCGAGTTTGATATGCGCTCCCTACGTACCGCCAGATGCAACGCATCGCCGATGTGACACAGCAGCGCCTGGATGACGTATAGACCCTCATCTTCGGTCGAGGAGACATCATCGAGCGTATGCGACAGTCGTTGTGGCAAAGCGAGGATAGAGTTGGAGGACCAGACGATTTCCAAAGAGGGAAGTGCGCAGATCTGCACGGGGGCAAGGATGAAAGGACGATCGTCACCAGACCATTCGTTATTCGACACCGCTTGAAGCGGGTCTGGACCCCGGCAGACGCAAAGGATACTCACATGCACGCGGCCGTCGTTACCAACAAGCGAAAGCCAAATAGTCGCAGCTTTCGACGAGGACGCCTGATCGTCTGACCCTGCGCTCTTCTCAACAACCCGTGCCGGCGTAGTGCTCGTCCGCACGTTCCCCTCTTCCTCCTCCTCCTCCTCTTCTTCCCCATAGTCGATCTCTTCCTCCTCTTCAGCCTCGTTGCGAAGCGTATTGCGCCGTGTCGTAGGGCTGTGCAAGGCCGTTGCCGAGCCGGTCTCCCGCACAAACTTCGGCTCCTCTTGCATCCGCAGCGGCTCGAGCGACAATTGCGCCCGCTGATCCCGCAACAACGAAACACACGTGTACGTGTTTGCTCCAAGCGCACAACCCTGTGGTAGTTGCACGCTTTGCAGCGCGTCTCTATCCACTCGATATAGTCTCAACTGTCCATCCGTCCTGACCAAGGCTGCCCAAGCGCCACACAAGCTAGCTTGATGCACTTGCAACTCCTCCTCCTCTTCATCCGCCACCGCCACCGCCGCCGCCGCCGAGGAAGATGATCTCCCCTTCTCCTCCACCGCTAGAAGCGATTGCAAAACTCGACCGGTCAGATCCATCACTTCCACCTGCCTCTCCGTTATACGGATCAATCGAGCAGCCTGCTCGGACCGTGTTTGCTGCTGCTCGGGCCGATCAGGCAAAGGTCCAGCGGCCAGGGTCCTCCCAGTCACGCGCTCGATCAGCTCCGTCTCGCCATCCGCATGCACCTTGAACAAGGTGGTTTGGTCGTCGTTGGAAGCCAAACAAGCGTCGTACGCTCTCTCATGCGCGTCGGATGAGTTGATCGAGCCGGGCAAAGTCCAAAGACCGCTAGGCGC